CCTAGCAGAGGTCTGCAGGTGTCCATCTTCTGGCCACTCACTCAGTCAACATACCCCGAGAGCTTTTGGGGTCTGTCCCTCTCCCTGGAGAGTGTGGGTCCTCCTGCCCTGGCCACAAAGAAAAAGCTAGGGGACCGGTGGGGCTGGTTTCCTTAGGTCCCAGTGTGCAGCCTGAATGTAGGTCACCTGGGTCTTTGAGCCCCACCTCTGCCTGATGGCACGTGGGGTGGACGGACTAGTGTGACCAGTAGATAGACAGACAGATGGACAGCGACTCCCCATGTGGCTGGGTCCCCCTGTCAAGTGGGCAGCTAAATCAACAGGCTCAGAAATCGGAGAGGGGCCTGGAGCCTGGCTGTGAGTTGGTCTGTCTGTTTGTTTGTTCTGGAGTTGTGGGAACTTCCAGCCCACAGGGGGCCCTGGCGTGGGGGCAGGGGTGCTGTCCCCCAGGCTGAGCTGACAGCCCCATCCGGCCCAGCCATCCCTCTCACCATGACCTGCTCTGTCCTCCTGGAGGCCGGCACCCACAGTGACGCGGTGTGGCTCAGCTGGGGCAGACAGGAGGCTGTGACCTGGCCGCCCACAGCTGCCTGGGCCCTGGCCCTTCCCCTGCCAGCTCTGAGGAGCCGGTGTCACAGGGCTCACATGCCCCTCTTCCTGCCCTCTCCCTTCTGTCACCCTTCGCGTGTCCACCCCTCTCAGCAGCTCCGTTTCCCTTTGTCCATCCTGTAGTCGCCAGCACCCACCAGGGCCAGGCGCCAGCACTCCAGAGAGGCAGCAGGATCTGCTCTGGGACCAGGAGGCAGGTGGGGCTGGGACAAGGGGGGGTCTCAGGTGATGCCTCTCAAGAGCTGAGGGGCAGGCCCCTCCCTGGCCATGTGTCGGCTCGCCTCACCCCGCGTCCTCTCAAAGCCGCTGCAGTGCACACACCAGGCTGTTGTGCACTCTCAGGCCTTTGCAAGAATTCCATCAGGTCTGCTTGGTGGGGTCACTGGGGCATCCTCTCAGAGCCTCTAGTCCCCTTCATGTGAACCCTGCTGTGTGCCCGGGGCTCCCAGGCAGGGTTCCTGCCTGCTGTCTGCCACAGCCACAGAACTCAGGGCTGAGCACAGACACTGCCTGCAGGAGGTTTGAGTAAGGGCCTGGCCCCCGAGGAGGAGGCTTGGGGGGTGCTAGTAAGGGCTTCTGCTTCAGTAGGGGGGAGGTCATGGCAAAGGAGGTCCAGGGGGCAATTAGGGGCCAACAGAGCTACTGCTCTCCCAGGCACATTGAACCCCCAAGCTGGGGAGAAGGGTTCCCTCTTTCTTCAACCCCTGCAGAGCAGCATCACAAGAGATCATGAGATGTGCGTGGCAGGTGCCAGGCCAGGGAAATTGCTTCTGCCCCTTTAGCCACAGGTAAGGCCCCTGCAAGCCCCCAGTTCCCACCCAGCTCCCACCGAGGGTTTGCAAACCCAGTGTGTGCACAGACTGTGTTCAGGCCAGTGGTGCCCCGTGTGGGGCTGGCAAATTGTGCCACCCTGGCTTTGATGCAGACCCAGCAGGGACCGTGCCTGCTCCACCATGCTGTGCGGTTTCTCTCCCGCCCCAGCAGCTGGCAACCCAGGCAAGGGGGCCCCAGCTCAGCCACCCAGAGGACAGTGATGATGGCACAGTGGTCCCCACCTGCCTGCCTCCAGGGCTGGGATTGCTGCTTATCCACTAGGGCCATCCAGAAAGTCGAGTTCATCCGCATCATAGTTCCAAGCACCTTCAACAGAGGAGGAACGGCGGGGCACTCCCAAGGGGCGGGGTCCTGTGCAAAGGCCCTGCAGTGCGCTGAAGCCAAGAGGTGGGGCGGAGCCGAGAGGGGAGGACGGGGCCTCTGTGGTTCGCCCGCCTCTCTGGCTCCAGGGAAGGTGGCTTTCCTCCCACCCACCCCCCGCCGCTGGGCCCCGAAGGCCAGCCTTCCAGCCTCCAGGTCCAGGCGGAGCTGCTGACTGGGGCAGAAAGACAGGAGGGAGGATGCGCCTGGTATGGGACCTTCCACCACTGAGGCCGCGTCTACGCAGACGCTGGAGGCAGATCCCCGTTAATCAATCCTGATACGAGGTAATGGGGTCGAGAAAAGCCCAGCCCCTCTGGGCCCATGGGGGATGCTGCTGAGTGCTGCCTGGCTCCTACTCTGAGTCCTAGGGGAGGGGTCCCCAGTGAGCACACACTCGCATCCTGTAGGCCTCCAGTACATACCCACCTGTGTGCACACTTGCCCCCAAAGGGGGGTTTCCCGGGTGTGCACCTCACCTCGAAGAGCACTTACTTGTCTCGAGAATCCGTGGGCTTTGTGCCGCCAGAGAAGCACAAGGTTGTGCAGGGCCTTCCAGGGCTGAAAACGGAGACGAGCGGAGTGAATTCTGAGCGGTGGGTGCAGCGCTGCGGATGCGCCTCCACAGTGGATGGAAGGTGAGGGGCGCGGCCCGTCCAAGACAGTGCGAGGGGCCCGTCCCCACGGCTCCCCTGGTGGGGGGCAGGCGCGCTCTAGTGGGGCGGAGCTGGGGCTGCAGCGAGGCAGCGTCGGCCCTCCACGGTCAGGGGAGAAAACGTCAGAAATAGGGCTCCTCGAGCGGAACATTCAAGGTGCTGGAGCGGCAGAAGGGGGGCGGGGCGAGTGAGCCCCGGCACCCAAGGCTCCCCCCGACGGTGCCGGGGTGCAGTGCGCGTCCGCGTGGTATCCCGCTCAGGGTCCCGAGGGCGAGGCCGTGTCCCCGCCAACGGCTGGCCGCGCCTCGGCCCCGTCCCACCCCTCCCACCTCCTGCCCTCGGCCAGGCTTCGGTCCCCCTCCTGTGCCCGGCTACCGCTGCCAATGAGCGTCCAGCCTCGTTTCTAGGGCTGTAAATGGTCCCCTTGTGGCCCCCAGCTTGCAGCCGGCCGACGCGGCAAAATGCGAGTCTGGTCTCTCTGCGCCCCAGGCAGAGGCGCGGACCGCGTAGCCCAGACCCCGGCCGCGCCCCGCACTCTGAGGAGCAGAGCCCGCGCGGCTCCAGGCCCCGGGCCGTGCCCAGCCCTCCTGGTCCGCGCAGGCCGCCGCCCAGCCAGGCCGCCTCCCTCGCGGTAACAGAGGCGCGGCCGGCAGGGGGAGCGAGGCGGAAGGGAGCCGCGCCGGGTCCAGGTGCGGCAGGAAGCCTTCCCGCGGGCTGCGGCGCGGCGGGCGCGTGCGGGCCGGGCTGTGCGGGGCGCCGGGCCGCCGGGCGGGCGCGCACCCTCCGAGCCGCGGGCTGGCAGGCGGGCTGGGGCGGCGGCGGGCGGTCGCGGGGTGGCGGGGCGCTGCGAGGCGTCGGGCGAGAAGGCGGCGGCGTCCCAGGGTCTGGGGGAGGGTCCCAGGAGCGCAGTCCCGCTGGGCAGTGAAGGCAGAGACTCCGCTGCGGGCTGGAGGCTCGGGCAGCCCCGCGCTTCGAGGGCATCGGGCCGCCCTGAGCCTCAGCGGTCGAGGGCTGCAGGAGGGCCCGGGCATTGAGCAGTGGGGTCGGGGGGTGCTGCAATCGCCAGGGTGAGTATGCACAGCGGATGGAGCCCGGGTCGCCTTGCGGCATCGGAGCGGCCTGGTGGGCCCCCTCACCTCTTCCGGAGCGCCCCTCTCATCCATCGGGGCTTGCCCACCCCAAAGACAGCCCTCTGCCTCTGCCCACCAGCCAGGCTGCTGGGGTCCCAGCTCCAGCATGAAGGGTTGCTGAGGGGCTGGGAGGACCACTGCTCCGCCCTCCACGGCCCCAGACAGAGAGGGCCGGGGGTGAGCGGGGGGTGCCTTAAGGCAGCGCCCAGGCCAATCCAAGGAGCCACAGAGCTTTTCACTTTCACTTCTCTCTTCTCAACTTTGGAACTGCTCTCAGACTCAACATCTGGGAGCTGCCCTCAAGGTGTGTGCCCTGGTATCATGGCAGGCTGCCCCAGGTGCATAGGACACAACCACCAGCACCCCCACATGCACCCCAGATAATGCACAAGCATATGGGGGAGCCCCTCCCATGCCTCCCAGGGCCCCAGGCATAGCCCGCAGGGCCCAGGGCCTCTCTGGGTGTGGATGGCCAGCACCTGGGCATGCCTCCTGCAAAACTACCACAACCTGCCCCCCCCAGTGCCACCTCCCAGCTGCAGCAGCTCCTCCTGGGACAGGGGCCTGGAGCCCAGATGGTCACGCCCCCCACTCGTCCCCAGACCTGCCCTGTGCCCCACAGGTCACTGTCACTGTCACGGTCACTCAAGGCCGAGAGCTGCCCTGGCAACAGTCCCCCTTCCCCTCCACAGTCCACAACTGCTGTGGCCTGGGAGGTGGGGAGGGGCTCACACAGCACTGCCCGCATGCACACCTGGCCTCCTGCTGTGTCCTAGGCCTTAGGCCCCAGAGCCAGTCTGTTCTTGGAGCACACTACCCTGTCCCCAGTTCCTGGGCCTCCCCTGCCCCCTATCCAGCAGCTCTTCTGTCTGGGGTCTGAGGACCAGGCATTGCAAAAGCCCCAGGAGAGGCTGCCTGCCTCCCACCCCCATCCCAGGCAAGCGCAGGCAAAGGCTTGCAACGTGGTTGTAAGCGGACAGCCCCTGGAAACGGAGGCCCTAACTGCCGGGGTCTCAGGGCAGGGCCAGAGAAGCTTCTGGGGGGCAGGTAGGCTTGATGCCCTGCTGGGAAGACTCCGGACAAGAAGGCCGTGGATACCCTGAACCGCTCAGAGGAGGTCCCAGAGGCAGTAGTGGGGAAGGCGCCAGCCAAGTCAGGCCTTAGCATGGGGATGCCTAGGCCTGGAGGCCCTGAGGCTTCAGGGAGGCCCTGGTCTCACTCTGCAGGGCCTGGTTGGGCACCAAGGCAGCAGGGTCTTCCCAGACGGGCAGGCTGGGTCCCGGTGGGTGGCAAGGGGCAGTAGACAATCCGACCCGGCTGCCTGAACTCCGATGTGTCCTCAGCTCCCTCGGCCAGGCCTGGCCCCGCCCCCGGCCCTCCCTGCGCCTGGCGGCCGGTGCGCGGGGAGGTCGGAGCAGCGGGCACTGCCCACCCTCCGGATGTATAAGCGTCCTGGACAGGGGCGGGCGGTGCGCGCGCCGGTGCGCGTGACGCTCGGGCTCCCGGGCTGTGCGGCCTGGGCGGTGTCCCTCTGTTGGGGCCCCCACAACAGTGAGCTGCCCGGCGGGGTCTGGGGGGGTTTGCTGTGCTGGGTACTTTGCTGCCACGCTGAGGGACGGACGACGCCACGGCCCTGGGGTTGTCTGCTTGTGGCCAGTGTCGGAGCCCGAACTGCCCTCTCCTCACCCAGGTGCAGGGGCAGCCAGGGAGGAGGCGGCGGGAGGGGCTGAGGGCAGGGACACGGCCGGACCCTGGCGGCCTGCAGGGCTTCATCCATGCCCCACTGGCCCAGGCTGGGGCTAGGCACTCCCAGCAGAGCTGCCTCCCCTCTGGTGCTGTAGAATCCAGCAGAGGCTTCGTTCGACAGAGGCAACCCCGGCCTTGGAGAGAGCAACGGGATGTTTTGAGGGGCGCTGGTCACGGGGGTCCCTGGGAGCAGAAGCCAGGGGCAGGGAGCTTGAAAAGCAGGAGGGCCCCAGGCTCCCAGGGCGCTCCACCAATCTGGGGCCCCTCGGCTGCCACCGGTCCAGAGTGGGGGGCCGTGACACCATAATCCCCGGGGCCCTGGCCGGCGGCTGTGAGTGGCACCGCAGGGCCCCCGCCCCCGGTCCCGTGGGCTGGGCTGGCCCCCGTGCGGCTGGGTGCACGCAGTCGGGGGCAGCGCCGGCCAGGCCGCTGGGCGCCTATGGACCCGCGGGGCCCGCTGTCTCCCCGGGCCAGCGCGTTCAGCATCGCCTCTCTGGTTGCAGCAGAGGCCGCGGAGCGAACCGCTCGCCCGGGCCCCGAGTCCTCCGACCAGGCGAAGCTTCTGCGGCTGCTGGGGTCCCCAGCCGGGATGCACTTCAGCACCGTCACCAGAGACATGGAAGGTGAGCCTCTTCCGCCGCATCTGCGGGGACCCGCCCGCCAGACCCCCTGCCGCTGCAGCCGTGGGGCCCCAGCGAAGAGGGCTGGCAGGGCCCGGGCGCGGAGGGGTTGGAGGGAGCTCCGGCGGGGTGGGCTTCGGGCGTCCAGCTCCAACTGCGGGGCGGGGAGGAAGCGCGGGCATCGTCCCCGGAGCCTGTGCACCCTCCAGCGTGGGGACTCCGCTGCAGAGCCGCGCGCAACTAGACAGGCCCGGACGAGGCCGGGGAGCCCCGGGGAAGCGCCGGGGAAAGACGGCCCGGTGGGCGGCGGGCCGGTAGGCGAGGAGAGGGCCCAGAGGGCACGCGGGGCGAGGAGAGAGAGGGCGCGAGGGCGGCGGGGCGGAGGGGAAGGCAGGGAAGAGGGGGGCGACCACGAAAGGGGTGCAGGTGGGAGAAAATTTAAGGCAGAAAATGAAGCCATGAAAAAAAAAAACGAAAGACTTCAGTTTTTGTTTTTTTGAAAAAGCGTGAATAACAGAGAAGGGCACCCAGAAATAAGAGGCAAAAGGCAGGCTGGAAAAAAGACAGAGTGAAGAAAATTAAAGTGGAAAGAAAGGAGAGAGCAGGAAAAAGAGGGGAGGCAGAAAATAAAGCAGAAATACAGAGAAACGAAAGAGACCGTGGAAGGGGGAGGGACGGTCGGAGGGAGAATCCAACGCGGAGACAAAGGTGAAGCAGCGGCGAGGCGGAGGCAGCGCCCGGGGAGAGGACCGGGCGGGCGGCGACGCGGGCGGGCGGCCCGGCGCTCGGGGGAGCCGGTCCGGGCGGTCGGGGGGCCGGCGGGGGAGGGGCGGCGCGGGGGGAGGGGGCGCGGGGCGGGGCGGGGCGGGGCGCCTCCTCGGGGCCGGGCCGCGGACTGGGGCGGCGCGGCCCGGGGCGCACGCAGCGCGGCGCCCGCCACTCGGCCGGCGGCGCGGGGCAGCGCTCACCTCGGCGGCGGCGGCGGCGGCCCGCGGGCCATGCTCTCCGCCGTGTCCAGCCCGTGGCTCACGCAGCTCTCGCACTTCTGCGACGTTGCAGCCTTCGCGGCCAGCAGCCTGAGCAGCCTGGGGGCCGCGGGGGGCTTCCCGGGCGCAGCGTCGCCGGGCGCCGACCCGTACGGCCCGCGCGAGCCGCCGCCGCCGCGCTACGACCCGTGCGCCGCCGCCGCCGCCCCGGGCCCGCCGCCGCCGCCGCACGCCTACCCGTTCGCGCCGGCCGCCGGGGCCGCCACCAGCGCCGCCGCCGAGCCCGCGGGCCCCGGGGCCGGCTGCGCGGCCGCCGCCAAGGCGCCGGTGAAGAAGAACGCCAAGGTGGCCAGCGTGGGCGCGCAGCTGGAGATGAAGGCGCTGTGGGACGAGTTCAACCAGCTGGGCACCGAGATGATCGTCACCAAGGCCGGCAGGTCAGGGCGCCCCCCTCCCTGCCCGCGACCCTGCCCACGTGGCGCCGCCCGGTCCGACCCTCGCGAGTGGGGCCGAGAGCGGGGCGGAGGGCGCGGCCCGGCCACCTGCGGGGCCCTCGGCGCGGCCGGCCCCTTCGCTCAGCACGGTCCCGGCTCCAGCGACGGCCGCGCGGCAGGCCGGCCCGCCCCACCCGCAGCGCCGGGCCGCCGGGAGCAGGGGCAGGCTCCGAGCACCCCGGGCTGGGAGAAGGCAGTCGCCTCCCGGGGCCTCGCCAGCCAGCCGGTTCCCAGCGGATTCCGCCGCAACGGGAACTCCAGTCGCTGGCTCCCAAGTTCAGGCTACCGGGCCAAAGAGGGGAGCTGGGCAAGTTTTCAGGAGAGTTAAGCACCCTAAAAACGGTGCTGTGTTCGGTGGCGGTTGCTACTGGCTTCCCAGGCCTACGTTTCGGGGGATTATGGAGCCTGGCTCTGCGGCTGGGGCCTGCCGCCTTCCAATTACCCTGTATTTGCTTTAAGGGCCCAGAGAGAAGGGGAACAAGTTTTGCGATGCAACCGATTTGACCAGCAGACAAAGGCGGGTGCCGGGCTGTGTCTAATGTACACACGGAGACACCAGCTCCGAGTCCACACAGCCGGGGGAGTTCGGGCCTGTTTGCAGAGCCTTCTCGCCGTTTCCTTCTCCCTGCCAGGGCCGTCCTCTCTGGGGAGCCCGGGGCCCGTGCTCAGCCCCAGCCGTGGGTCTTCTCCAGGTTCCCCGTGCTGCCCCTGGGTACAGGGGCCCCCTGAGGACTGTGCCCTGGCCTCCAGCTCAGGCCAACTCGGCCAGGGCCCTCTCAGTGGCCGGGCTTCACCTCAGAAGCCACCACTCTGTAGCACCCTGAGGCCGGCAGAGGCGGGGAGGGCTTTCTGCCCACTGCCCGCAGACACTTGTCCATGAGGGGAAGCAGTAGGAAGGGCAGCTGGGGGCCAACCCTCACACTGGCCTTCAGGACCCGGTGGCTGGCACTTGGGTGCCGTCAGGACAGGGCCGGCCCGCAGCCAATGGCCCATCCAGGAGTCACAAAATGTCCTTTCCTAGAGCCCAGATGGGTCTCCGAGCGGGAGTCCGGGGAGGAAGAGTTAGGGGATCAGAGGGGCACAAGCCAAGTGTACCCTGAGTGGCTGCCTCGGGTGGGGGGGGTGCTTGCGTGTGTCCCAGGGAAAGGTGGGGTTATTCCAGCTTTGGGAGGCCTGGGAGCTGGGCAGAGTTGGGGCTGTGGGCTCCAAGGCCTTGGCTTCGCTGGAGGGTTGGGGAGCCGCCGTAGCCCCAGCTGGGAAGAGCACCTGGGACTCCTCCGAACCACACGCGCCTCCCGGTTTCACTTTGTTCAAGCGGGAAGCTGAAAGCGATCGCCTAGATGGTCGAGCTGGGGGAAGGCGCTGCTGAGGGCTGAGAATCCCTGGGGCCGCTTCTCAGCAGTCCCGCTCGGGCGTTGCTGGCTGAGGCTGCCTCCGAGTGGGACAGCCAGGTCGGCAGTGGCTAGGCTGGCTCTACACCGGCAGAGGTGGCAGGCAGACGCGGTCCCCTAAGGTTGGGGCGTGCAAGCTGAGCTCTAGCACTGAGTCAGCCATTTTTGTTTCAGAAAAGGGGACCCCTCCACTTGCTCTTGGCTGGGCAGGGGCCTAGTCAGATTAGAGCAGCTGAGTAAAGGGAGACAAGACAGGGGGGCCAGGCTGCCAAACACAGCTGCGGCCTGAGGCCCCCGGTTTGGGCTGTCCAGGGTGGGGTGGCCCTGCTCTCCCCCGCCTGCCCGTGACTGGAGGCCTCGCTGCCCCCAGGCGCATGTTCCCCACGTTCCAAGTGAAGCTCTTCGGCATGGACCCCATGGCGGACTACATGCTCCTCATGGATTTCGTGCCGGTGGACGACAAGCGCTACCGGTGAGGGCCCAGCAGCACTGGGGAGGGTGCCCTGGGAAGCAGCGGGGGCCCTGCCTGCTGATGTCTCTGAGGGTGGCCCGGGACATGAGTGACTGGGTGGTCCCAGGCACCTGTGCCACCTGCCCCACCAACCTGTGAGACCTGCTCCTTCCCCACCCCTGTCGGACCTCAGCCCCAGCAGTTCTCAGCAAGTCCCCTCAGGAGGTGACGGGCTGGGCTCCCCAAGCAGCCATAGGCCAGGAGAGCTCCCATGCCCCTGAGCTGGCTGAGCCAGAGGCGGGCAGGCCCCTTGCACACAGACCCTGCTTCTCTTCGTGTCTCCCTCTCCCGGGAGGTAAGCGTGGGCACCTCGTCTCCTTCCCCCATCCTCCTCCAGAATGCTGGGCCCTGGAGCCGGGCAGGAAAGGTGGGGTGGCCCAGAGAGATTATGCAGGGCGGGCCTCAGCTGCCCAGACAATTAACAGCAATTAATAAATAAAGAGAACGTGGTCCGCCCTGAGCCCGAGGCCACCAGCGTGGCCAAATCCAGGCTCCCGCCAGTGACACTGTAGGCCAGCAGGGAGGCCCAGAGCCGGTGGACCCGCTTACAGCGAAATGTGGCGCTGGGAGCCCGGCGTCCTCCCAGTGCCGGGCTTCCTGCTGTCTCCTGTATTGGGATGGAGGGCGCTTTCTGTTTTTTCCACAATCCCCCTTGGAGAAGCTCCCAGGCCATGTGGCAGCAGAGGCCCAGTTTCACTGGTGGGGAGACTTCTCAGGCACTTTCGGGGTTCACTCAGCAAGCCTCTCTGGGTTCACTCCAACACGGTGTGACCCCTGCCGCCCCAGGTACGCCTTCCACAGCTCTTCCTGGCTGGTGGCTGGGAAGGCAGACCCCGCCACGCCAGGCCGCGTCCACTACCATCCTGACTCGCCTGCCAAGGGTGCACAGTGGATGAAGCAAATTGTGTCCTTTGACAAGCTCAAGCTGACCAACAACCTGCTGGATGACAACGGCCACGTGAGTGACCACCCCCTCCAGGCGGTCCGTGGCACAGTCCCCCCAGAGCCCCTGCTGAGCAGAGCCCAGAGCCAGATCTCTGGCAGCTCGGGGTGTGGATAGGCAGCTGGTCCCCTGTCAGGGGCTTCATAGAGCCTGGCAGGCCACAGGCCTGGAAGTGGGGAGCACTCTGCTTCTCTCACCACATTCTTGACTTTTTGATGAGAATTTTTACCTGGAAAGGGGGGGCCATGTATGGGGACAGAGGCCCAAGTCTGCAGAATCCAGGCCAGTGATTCCACTTTCCTGTTGGGCTGAGGCTGGCAGCAGTTGTCAAGGACCTGTAGAAAGTCTAAACCTAGGGCATTTAGCCACTTGGGGAGCCTCTCCCAGTGGTCCCCAAGAAGCGGCAACCATTGCCTGGGCCCCATGGCCAGACCTTATTTCGGGAACTAAGGGTTTTACCCATGCACTTTCTCTGGGAAGTTCGCTGGCTCTGTGGACCTTGCCTCATTTCCTAGTTTCAGCCTCTTCCACTACCTTGTCTTCCAGATTATTCTCAACTCCATGCACAGATACCAGCCTCGCTTCCATGTTGTCTACGTTGACCCACGCAAAGATAGTGAGAAATACGCCGAGGAGAACTTCAAAACCTTCGTATTTGAGGAGACGCGCTTCACTGCGGTCACTGCCTATCAGAACCACCGGGTGAGGCCCTGGGGACTGGCCAATTCATCACCTCTGGGTGGGGGGCGCGGGTTTCAGTTGCTGCATGGGGTTTGGACCAGCAAGCTGTTGGTCCCTATGGATCACAAGCAGGATGGCGCCCCACCTCCAAGGGCCTCAGGCAGCCCCCTCCTCTTTGGGGTAGGCTGGCCCAGCCTCGTATCAGGTTGACTTCTCCAGCGTCAACTGTCACCGCAGCCTGGAAGTTTGTTTTCCAAACCATTCCGGAAACTCCCCATCAGGGGCCTGATCTGCAGTTCACCCGGACTCCTAGGGCACCCCCTGCTCTCCCACACTGTGGGGTGGGGGGCCGGGAGGACCGCATTCTCATCCCAGCCAGGGGCGCAGGGTCTCCATTCCAATTGCTTGGGGTCGCAGAGAAGGGATTCTTACCAGAGAAAGTGGGCTCCCCAGACCTCATGCCACGGGAGGGAGTCACCACTTCTGCAGCAGGGCGAGCAGTTGTGGGGCTGTTCCCGCCTGTGGGGTGTAGAGGGTTCCTTCCTGGGGGTCCTCCTCCTAATACTCCCCTCCCCTCCTCTTCCCTTCCCCGGGCTACGCCTCCCCGCCGAGATTCGGGTCTCTAGCAGCTTGCTCAGTGCCCACTTTCCCGTAGATCACGCAGCTCAAGATCGCCAGCAACCCTTTCGCCAAAGGCTTCCGAGACTGCGACCCCGAGGACTGGTGAGTATCCTCCCAGGAGGCAGCGAGCTTCCGGGCACCGAGCCCCGGCGCCGCCTCACCCGGTGCCCGCCTCCCTCCCGCAGGCCTCGGAACCACCGGCCCGGCGCGCTGCCGCTCATGAGCGCCTTTGCGCGCTCGCGGAACCCCGTGGCCTCCCCCACGCAGCCCAACGGCGCGGAGAAAGGTAGGGCCCGGGTCGTGGGATCCGGGCCACGGCCCTGCACGCGCTCCGCCCGGGGCAGGCGGCCGCGCCTGGCCTCGCCTGCACCCCAGGGGTGCTCGCGGCCTTCGTGCCGGCTGCACCACGGCCGTGGCGGCGGGCAAGCGCGCACTCGCCCGCCCGGCCCGACGGCTGAGCTTCGCCCGCCCCGCCCGTCTCGCCCGCCTCTGCGGCCCGCGGAGCGGCGCGGGCCCCGGGGGAGGGCCCGGTCTCGGGCAGGTTCGGGGAGTAGGGGGCGGGCAGCGCCCGAGCGAGTCCTAGCGCCTCTTCCCAGCCGGCGTCGGCAGGGCCCTCGCGGGGCCCCTGTGCGGCCCCGGCCGGCCGGCCGCGCTCACCCCTCGGCCCTCCCCGCAGACGCGGCCGACGCCCGGCGGGAATTCGAGCGCGACGCGGGCGGGCCGGCGGTGCTCGGGGACCCGGCGCACCCGCCGCAGCTGCTGGCGCGGGTGCTGAGCCCCGCGTTGCCCGGGGCCGGCGGGGCCGGGGGCCTGGTTCCGCTGCCCGGGGCGCCCGGAGGCCGGCCCAGCCCCCCGCACCCCGAGCTGCGCCTGGAGGCGCCCGGCGCGTCGGAGCCGCTGCACCACCACCCCTACAAGTACCCGGCCGCCGCCTACGACCACTACCTCGGGGCCAAGAGCCGGCCGGCGCCCTACCCGCTGCCGGGCCTGCGCGGCCACGGCTACCACCCGCACGCGCACCCGCACCACCACCACCCCGCCGTGAGCCCGGCGGCCGCCGCCGCCGCCGCCGCCGCTGCCGCCGCCGCCGCCGCCGCCAACATGTACTCGTCGGCCGGGGGCGCGCCGCCCGGCTCCTACGACTACTGCCCCAGATAATGGGGCGCCCGCCGGCCGCTCCAGCCCGGTCCCCGCACAGCCCCGAGGGCCGCCGAACACGCTCCCCCCCGGGGGCCTCCGCGGGCCTCCGCTCCCCAGCCTCGAAGCCAAGGGGTCCTCCACCCTTCAGCCCGGAGCTGCCGAGGTGCCCGGGTCCCCAGTCCCGGAGCCGCCCAGGCCCCCCGGCCCCGAGCGAGGGCCACGGGCTCCGCGCCCGCCAGTGCCAAAGCGCCCGGTCAGCGGCGGAAGGAAGTGATATTTATTGTTCTCCGCGAGACCGCGTCGCCCCCTCGACCCGGCCGGCAGCTGCAGTACGGACGGCCCGAGAGCCCCGTCTGCAGGCGGTGTAGATACGTGTAGATATTTGTAGATACTGTAGATACCGCGCCGGCGCCGACTTGATAAACGGTTTCGCCTCTTTTGGAAGCTGCTTGCCTGCGTGTCCGTTTATTTGCGTCCAGTTAGATCGCGCGCGGGGTCTCGGGGAGAGCGGGTCCGGATGGACTTGGGACTTTGGGGGTCTCCCGGCCCGAGTCCCCGCGGGCCGCAGACGCGGTCCCGGGCGGAGCGACGGTCCGGGCGGTGCCCTCCGAGAGCCCCCGCCCGGCCCCCTCCTGGCCCCGCCTCTCCCCCCACCCTCCGCCGGGCCTCCTCCCGGCCCCTCCCGGCCCCGGCCGTGCGCTCCCCGCCCCCGGGCTACCTTTCGGCCGCGTCCTAACCGCCGCCCCCCAGGCCGCGGGTACCGGGGCTCCGCCCCAGCCCCAGGTGTGCACGCCGCCTTTTTAACTCAAATAAATCACAGGGGCAGTTGACCCTCTGCTAGGACTCCAGCGCTCCTGGCCTGTTTTCAGGATGGGTGCCTGTCATGGGAGTTTTTCCACCGAAGCAGGGAATACCGGTCACGACAGGGCACTGGGTTAGGGGCTGGGAACGGGAGAAGCCCTGACTCTGATCTTGGAAAGACAAAAACAGGCAGTTCTGCTCTTCCAGCACTTCCCTTGGCTGGCCCTATCCCCGGCACGCATTTTCCCCTGTTTATTGACTTTATTCGCTGTCAGGTCCCCACGGAAGGCCCTGGACAGGGGGCACAATGACAGTGGTCATGAGTCATCTCGAGACCAGTCTATGAAGCGTTTTTCCCAGGCCAGGTGGTGAGGGACCTCTCCCCGTTAACTCAACACCAGGGATGGGGGCCAGAGGGCCTTTGATCCCCCCCTTCCTGAGTCTAGGCAGGAAGAGCGGACAGCCGGTCAACGTCAAGGCTGCTACCTTGGACACAGAGTGGACGGGAAATGCAAGTGGCCGGGGTTCTACCCCCCTTGGGTGCTGGTGCTGCCTCTCCAAGACGCAGCCGGGCATTTCATGATGTCCACCCTAAACTGGACAGTTGCTTTCCAGATGTGTTCATGCTGGTGGCGTGAAGTGACTGAAGGCTTAGCAACTGGACAGCAGAAACCATTCCCGTGAGGCAGGTCTAGGAAGGGAGGGGTGACCAAGGCTGCTGAAAGGTGAGCTCTGGAACCAGGGCCCTCCAAAACCTAAAAGGGCATCTGGTGCCAGGGTGTAAAAATGATTGCAGCATCTGCCGAGTGGCCAGCAGGCTCCTTGGACACAGCTCCAGGGATGTACTCCTAAGGGCGGCTCTGGACTTCCACCCATGACAGACACCAGTTCGCCCGCACAGCAGGTCCCCTTCCGGGCTTGCTGCATGCACCCGTGGGCTCCTGCTCAGGGCAGCCTGTTCTGCATTAGCACCACAAATACATCCTGCACCTCTCCTTGTTCTGGGAGGCCTCCGGCGGTGCCGGGCTGTGTCCTGCAGTGCCCGTCTTCTGGGTGGGCCCACTGAGATTCTCAGGCTTCCTGCCCTCTGCACACCCTTTCATCATGCAGCCCATGGCACAGGGAGCCTGGTGTGAGGATGGCAGTTGGAGCATCTCCCTTCTGGTTTTGTCCAAGGCTCAAGTGAGAAGCTCCCCCCTGAACTAAGGATGGTGCTGGGTGTTTGCAGGTGAGAGGGGGCAGCCGAGAGCTCAGGCCGTTGGTATGCCACTTGCCAACCTTGTGCACATAACCCCTGAGGCCTGTGGGTCCCTTGCTGGCTCTGTTCCAAGTGCTGGGCGGCACGGGGGCTGCACCTCAGCTCGCCAGGCGCTGCAGATGAGGGCTCATCCTGCACTGGGGAGCAGCCCCCAAAGGCATTGTTTTCTCTCCTCACCTTCAGCTGATAACTTCTTGTAAATTGTGCAGCGGGGTGCCTGAGTCACCTGCTTGTGCTCCATGGTGTGCTTTGAGCTGGCCCAGACTGTCACCCACCCCAGTTCTACTGCTGACCAGTGGCCAGTCCCCAGTGAAGGGCACTGGGCTGTTTTAGGACGGATGCCTCGAGGCTCAGTGTGAAGCTCAGCCGGCCCTCCCGGCAGCCCTGCCGTGTGCAGGCCGTACGTCACCTGCCTAGGCTGCTGCCACCTTGCCTTTCATCCTGGAGGGGACAAGGGAAGGCTAGCTCCATCACCCAGTTTCTGTTGGAGGCTCTGCATTTCAGAAAAGCACTCTGTCTCGCTCACTTGTTGCTAAAATGCACGTTGGTGTGCGCTGCCAGCTGCAGGCGCTGCCTGGCCACTGCCTGCCCTGAAGGGCTGACGTTCCCACGGCAGCTGCCCTGGACAGTCCTCGGCTCTCCTGTGAAGCTGCTGTCCCGGCAGCTTCCTTTCTGCTTCCGTTTCCCTCCCTCTGGGTTCCTCTGTGAGCAGCCTGGCCGCCCCTCCTAGGAGCCGCCATGCTGTGTAGGGCTTGGGGCACCTCTGACATGCCACCTCACAGGCTCGCCCCTCAGCTACTGGACTGGCCTGGCGGCCCCATTCCACCCCCGTTAAGTTTCTCCAGGTGTCCAGCTGCCAGGACTCAGGAGAACAGAGGCGTAGACAGAAGGGACCTTAGAGATCTGGCCAGGGACTGCGGACGCCTCAGTCCTGGAAGCGCTTTCAAAAGCAATGGCCGCCCAGCGAGGGGAACGGGCAAACTCTCAGCTGAGTAGAGAAGGAGTAGGGTCTGTCCACTCCTTCCTTCATCCCTTTGGGTCCTGTGTAAGGGCTCAGGGACCCCGGGCCCGGGCATGTGGCGGGATGCCCCCTGCCCTCCCAGCCCCCGTTTTGAGAGGAGCAGAGCAACCCGGAGTGGCAGGAAGCTGCTGCCTCCGCCAGCTCTGGGGCTCTGTCCCTGAGGTAAACATTCCAGCTCCCAGGAAGGCTGGCAAACTGCCCTGCCATTTAGGATGTCCCGGCACAAACGACTGGAGCTTCTGAAGGACTCGGCAAGTGGCAGGCACCCAGCAAGCCCTGCGGCTGCTGCCCCCTCTCATGGAAGTCTTGCAAAAGCCCAAGACATAGGGACTGTCATGACCCCACAGCACACAGGGTCTGGTGTGGGGATCCTCCGGTGGCACCACCGCTGAAGGAAAGCTGGTAACCCCACATGCACTCACTGGGACCAAGAGAAAGTGGCCGAAACGAGCGTGTGGGGGAGCTCAGGGCACAGGCAGGCATGGGCCCAGGTCTCCGGGGCAAACACCTTAGAGGGGCTGCATTTGGGGTGCAGAGAGAGTGCACCGAGACTCCACTGTGTGAGGGGGGTCTGCTCCAGGTCAGCTCAGCCTGGAGTCGGGGAGGGAGGGACCAAGTGGTTGTGGGGCTCCAGCCCCCCTTCCCTCTAGGGGGAAGTCCACAGAGTGAGGGGGCCCCTCAGTCGAGGGGGTGAGCACGCAGCACACTCCCAGGTGGGTTGCAGATCACAGTGCTGGTGCCCGGGAAGGAGGTCACCAGGGCTACGCTGCCCAGGGCACAGCCAGCAGAGCCTTGCAGCTGGGGGAAGGGGCGGTGCCAGGAGCTCCCAGGCCAGCGGAGGACTCCCCTGTGCAGAGGCGGGGCCCAACCTGAGCTAGTGAGACCCCGGCGCCCAGTTCCCCGCCAGCGCTGTGGTGTGAATGGCGGAGGCCAGGGGGACTGGTGTGGGGCGTGGTCCGAGGATGCTGCGCAGTGCCCAGGGTCCTGGGGGTAGACGCAGGGGCCTGCACGTGGGCACATCCACCACCTCGGCACAAACCTGGTCCCCACGTCCCTCCCTGCCAGGCTCCCTCGCCCCTCAAAGCCACCTGTGTCCCGGCCAGGGACACGGCCCAGCCCCGGGAGGGGAGGAAGGGCCCGTTTCCCGACTACTTCATGAATTCTCTGTATCTTAAAAAAAATCACAAATTGGTTTCTTTGATTCAATTCCTTCCCTGCTTGTTGTACTACTTCAAACCAGATGGGTTTACAAGATGAAATTCGGAGTCTCGGCACTTCTAAGTGCCGCCAGGTCCGTGCGTGGGGAATAGTGGGGCCAAAGGTATTTTGTTGAAGCAGCCGATGTTGGGGAGCAGCTCGGGTTTTACCAGCAGTAATGAAATGATCTTCCTAATTATAAAGAGGCATGGCACCGTCCACATCCTTTATCAGCTTCCGACTGCAGAGCGAATGTGGTGATCCTCTCTGTCCGGTCACTGCCAGCCGCGTCGTCCCCTTGGCCCGGCTCCTGCGGGCACACCCGTGCCCGCAGCGCACACAATGTGTCACCAAGGCGGGACTCTGAGATGCCGGGCGCTCCTCACATTTCAGCGTCGCTGAAGCCGGGCCGCATCTCGGCCTGAGGGGTCACAGTCCGACTTCTCCCTGGCGTCGCAAGCAGGAGCGACGGCCTCACAGCCGATGGAGAACCAGACTTGAGGGGCACCGTCATTTTTTCAGCCATGTGCCGTGTGCCTGCTGGGGCCAGGCCTGGAGCACAGGTGCTGGGTGCTGCCTCTTGTGGTGAGGCCAGCAAAAGGCCGCCGTGGGGGACCCGGCTCCTCGGGGCCCAAGCTGGGAAACAGGCCCTGAGCCTGGTGCCTTTAGCGCGCTCGCGTTCCCGTCCCTGAAGGCTGCCGGCCAGCCAGCTCCTGCAAGGCCCTCGGGGGGCTCAGCGCTGCAGGAAGCCCCGCACCATGGCCAGCTCGCAGCTGGGTGGTGTCCCTGTCCACAGAGGGCAGCAGGATGGGTGAAAGGCTGTGGCCTCTTCTCTTCCAACGTGGTGGTGGGAATTGAAAGCCCTTTAAGTGTGGCTGTGGCTGCAAAAAAATGTGGACGCAGCCATCTCTGTGCAAATAATCTCTCTCTTGGTGACAATAAGTGAATTCTTCAAGGGACCTAGAAAGACAAGCAGCTTCATCACGAGGCAGCTGGCCCCTGGGAAGCTCTTTGGACTGCCTGCGGGGGACAGGGGCCCAAGGGCCTCTCAGCAAGGTGGGGAGCCACACCCCTGCCCCCAGACTGCCCGCTGAGCGAGCAGGAAGATGCTCATGCACAAGTCCCCACACACCCGCCACCCAGTGGCCCAGCCCTGAAAGCAAGCAG